ATAGGAAGGGCAGCAGAATACAACAGACACTAGTATGTCAATATGTAAATCAATGGAAGTGTAACTGATGTGATTCTGCAAGCTGTATACGGGGTAAAATGGGAGTTCATAACCCACTTGAATCAAAATGTGAAATATGATATATCAAGAACTATGTAATGTTTTGAACAACCAACAATAAAAATAAAATAAAATTAAATTAAATTAAAAAAAAGAAAACCAGTTATAATTCCTAAGGAAGTTTTTTACACCCCTGCCCCCTATTGTTCTAATTAGACCTCAAATGCAGAGGCACATCAGGACCCCTAAGTCTTATAAAAATAACATTACCTGTGCCCCATCCTAGATATACTAATGTGATTTGTCTGAAAATGGATTTTCTCTTCATTATTTTAAAAAACAACAACAACAACAAAAAGCAAGCAAGCAAATAAAACACCAGGTACTTCTGATATGTACCTAGCATTGAAATCAATGATTTTCATGTCATCTTAGGACTCCCTATGCTCAGATGGTCTTAGACAACTTGTGCCTGAATTCCTCTGCCATCTAGGATAAAACTCTATCTGGCTGAAACGAAATTCAACATCTATAATCTTACTCTCCCAAGGAAAGCAGTGAAGGGTGGGATTATTATTAGACTGAATCTGAAGGCAGGTTATTTCTTTCATGTGGAAGTAAAAGTGATATTATTAGTTTTCCAGCTATCTTAAGATTTCTAAGGAGCTGTAACTTGGGCAGAAGTCCTGACTGTGGTCAAACCTTTTCTTAAAATTTTCCATATAATAAAGGACTATATACAGTATCCCTCAGTATTCCTCAGGAATGGATCAAAACTGTCTCCAAAGAGAATATGCCTATGTCATCTGTTTTTCTGCTAAATGGCTCACCACTGAAAATCATAAGCCAAATTTATGATGGTGGTCTTTTTATTATTATTATTAGCTGTTCAAAACATTATAAAGCTCTTGACATGTCATATTTCATACATTTGATTCAAGCGGATTATGATGGTGGTCTTAAAAGCATCTAGTTTATAACTTGTTTTAGGCAGTCTGTATGATGGCCTTCAGTGATCCTCTTATGTTTGTACCCTTATGCCCTTGGGCAATACCTTCCCATAGGTGTAAACAAAGTAACATTGTATTTGAATTTTTTTAAACTGTAACTTCTATTTGGGGCACTCTTACTCTCTGGTTCCTTGCTCTTCAGAATACTATTATAGGCAGTGCTATTGGAGACCCATGCAGTGAAGAAATTATGTCTAGCCAATCATCAGTAAGGATCTGAGCTGGATCTCTCTTTGAATTGAGTATTAAGATAGATGACTGCAGTCCTGGTTAAAAACTTGATTGCAATTTTATAAGGGTTTACAATCAGAGATATTTAGCTGACCCATACCCAAGTTCCTGGACCACAAAATGGCTAAATGAAGTTTTAATTGTTATATAGCAATAAATAACTAATACAAGGCTGGATTCATCAAGAAAAGGGTTTGTCATCTTCAAGCTGAATATTATTATTTATCTGACATTTCAATTATTAGAATGTAGGTATTGATACTGTAAAAGAAAAAAAATTGTGTAGGCTCTCATATATTTAATGATGACGATTTGGAAAAGAGAACATAACAATCAGAAAATAAAAGGAAGTATAAGAGGTGTCTTCTCAGGTAAAAGAAAATACCTGGTTGCCTGGAGGAAATATTTGAAAAAGGAAGAAATTGAAAATTGTTGGGAAGACTAGGATTTTATTATTTCTTTCTTCCTGTCAAGTCTCCTCAATTCAAGAGAATAAATTTTTTTGACAAACCAATATTGGAGGATAGGTGGGAGCATATGTGGAAACATGTCACTTTCATTGAAGGCAGCAGCCCTTGTATTAAATAAATATAGTAGAATATAATGGAATAAAAATGGTTTAATAAAGAGAAGCCTGACAACAATGCTGAAACAGAAATGAAGTTTTAATTATTTGATATGAAGATACACGTTAAAGACACAAACAAGAGAGATCAATTTATAGATATTTTCCCAAAACTGTTTTAGATGATCACAGAAATGGTCAGAGTTGATAATCATCTGGTATCCATAGTTAGTCATAGTGGCCTTCATCCATTCTGATGATCAATGGTATATTCGAATTGAACAGGAACCACCCACACTGACTATTAAATGTTTTTAATATCACTTCTGGACATAGTGAAGTTAGATAAGTTTTGCATTCCTTGAGCACTTTGTTACTTAATTGTAAATCTAGACTATATAAGATCTCTTGTATCTGATTTATCCCCAAGTATTGGAGTAGAGGTGTAAATAAAGCCTCATGATAAACCTTGTATGTCCTGAGTCTTTAATTTTGCTTACTGGTGTTAGTAGAAGACATTTTTATTTTAAAATAAATATGAACATATTTTGAAGTAATATGCAAAAATCACAGACATTTTAAGAGAAAAGATTTTCAGGAAACTTTCTGTCTTTGGTGAACTGTCTATATTATTCCCTAGATTATCACCCTATAATTCTTCTATTTATAGGTATTTTAATAGAAAATCTGAGGGTACAGCTTCAGGGTTTTGTATTTACAGAATTGCTTTTATCACAGCTAGACTGCATAGGCATCCTTTACGTTCTTTGGCACTCTAAAAAATCAGCATCCTTTCTCTCTTGTCATTCAATCGCCAAATTTTATAACCAACTCAAAGGCTGCCAACTTTTATTATGACTTATCTATGGCAAAATGTTTTAGTTCACTTAGTGCATTGAAAGTAACTTTTATTATTTATTTTATTAACATTTCATATTCTTTTAATTTTTTATTTGTTTCTGGAAACCCATGTTTTTACCTAATTTTCTCTTTTAAAGAGCTTTGTAGAAAGGATTATGTTGCTTATAAGGATACTTTTCACAATGCTTTCCATTTATAAAAGAGATGTACATGAAAGTTGAATAGGAGTCAGAATTAAGAATTGCATCATTTGTTTTCTCCTTTTGGGTGAAATTATCACAGTATAGATGAATATTGTATATGAAGTAAATTACCAAATGGATCATAATTGTTTGCAAATGTAAAGATCATTTCTCAATAGAAATAAAAACTAAACAAAACCAGGAGGCCATGTGCTAATAATCATAATAATCTATGAGTAAGAAGCATATGCTAAGTAATCTAGACTCTTGTGACAGTTCTGCATCTATCTGGGTATTAAAAAAACTCATTTTCCTGATCTACAAATAACTAAGAAGGATGAAGTTCTCATGAAGTTTTTAAGATTCTATAACTCTGAATATATGTAACTAAAACAGATTTTATTTCCTAAAACTTGCATGATAAATGTGAAAATTAGAGCAAAAAAACAAGAATTAAAAGTAAAAGGTCTTAGAGAGATTATTTTAGATAACCTATACTACTAGAAATGGATTTGCAACTATAGGTTTTGCCTAACTACATTGTGTATGTGTTTATATACTATTTCCATATAAGTCTCTGCATAATAATGTTTCACTTCAATTTTAAGTGAAGTATTCATTACAACTTTTCTTTGCTATTCAAACATTGACTTAATTCATACCAGAAAATCAATTATGGATAAACACTCTGCTAAGCACTAAGGAAACAAATATGAAAAATGTTAGTTCTCCTCTCCCCTCAATATGCTCACAAGATTTCAGTCACAGAAGCCTGATCTAAGGACCTAGACTAGTAAGGTCTTTAAATTATGTAGTAATAATTATGTAACATCTTCCCAGAGTTTATCTGAGGAAGGGCAATTCTTCCTAGCTTCCTGAAGCCTGATCATGTAAGTAAAACATAAGAAAATTAAATGACTACTATTTCTCTTGACAAAACTTTTTCATACAACTCTCTTATTGATGTGTTACCAAATAATATTTTATATAATGTAAAGGGATTGAATGACAAACATTTTGAAATTAAAAGCACAACATAAAAAGTACTGCCAACATCTACCAAAGGAAGAATTTTGAAATAGTTACTTGTCTTTCTGATAAGCCTGATATCTGTGGCCTCACCTCAAGCCCTCATGGTATTCAGGGGCTAGTGTCCCTAACTATATTCTGTATTGGGAGCATTGTGCTCTTGCCATCTAACAGGAAAATAACTTTCATATTTTGGATGGTGGATATTTCTAGAGGTTAGAAAATTAACTTTTAATAGACACAGTTTTTTTAAATGATACAGTTCTATTCATGCACTCAAATATATTCTAACTTTAAAATTCTGTAACTGCTTTCATCTGTAATGATTTTACTTATACGATCCAATTTAATTGGCGAGAGTGTTGTGGCAAAACATTTTTCACATATTTGTATTATTCCTTGTGAGACTTCTATTGTAAGAATTGCTGCAGGCTGTCATTTTTGTCTGCCATCCAGAATTTGCTGGCCCCAGTGTTGTGTACTAGTCTTGGTGTTGGTCACAAGGGGGAGGGGAAATTTGCAATTCAGCCAGACGCTTTTGTTATTCCTTTAAAATTAAAAGCATATGAAACAGATACAGCTTATTAAGGTTGTCTTTTATAAATAACATAAACTTAAATAACAAAACAATAAAGTTCAAATACAACTTAAAATAGAGTTTAATGCTGTAACCACAGAAAAAAAGCATGATTATTTATGGGGAGAACATTATTAAAAGTCATATTCCCAAATATGAATTGTACAAAAGATAGATTATGTTACTCAAAAAAATTTAAACATTTCTGAATTTTACTTCTAGGGATTATAAAATGTTATTTTGTGGCAAGTGAGATGAAATACAGTATTATCATCATTATTGCTACTTTATATACAAAATTTTTAAAAACATCCTTGTAGCAATAGCCTTTCAATTTGAGCAGCATTAAGAATTTTGTTCTTGTTAATAAGTACAAGCATGTTCTAAGCCAATAATTTTGTAAAATGGTCTATCTTATTCATTTCCATAATAGATTTTTTCTGATTAGAGCTTAAGTGGATTATAATTTTTCATTGGAAAGCATTTCAAATTACTGCTCATCTTCCTTAGTGTTGGCTTGATTATCTGACAAATCATTTCAGCAGCCTTTAGGGTCTGACATATCTTATATAACATCATCTGCATTATTATTATTATAGCAGCCATTTTATAAGCAGAGAGGAATATTTAAATAATCATTATCAGATAATCAAATCTACCATACTCTTAAGGGTAAATTAATTTAAGAAGAACATTACTATTACTAACACCATGATTGTACAACCAGTTTTACAATTTTTTACAACTTTTATTACTAAATCTGATTTTTGTGTATATTTTTCAACTCTTTCTTTAATGCAGTCTCTTAAAATAAACATAAATGCGCAAGTCCAGCTTGATCAGTTTTTCAGTAGTTTTCCAGCCTTTCTTGGTTACTTCAAAAAAAAAAAAAAACAAGGAAAGAAAGAAAAGAAAGAAAGAAAACAGTCCACTTAAAGAAATCTCCCTGCTGGAACTGGTTTCTTATATACCATATATGATTAGGTTATTGCCATAGGAAGAAAGTGGGCTGTTTTTTGTTCTTTCTTTGTCTTTTTCCCTCTTACAGGAACTCCCTTTTGATTCAAGGCAACAAACATTTCTCCTCCACTGTGTGTCCATTTAGCTGATGCATATGTGTTGTAGTGGTTTTCCAGAATTAATTCTTTGAAGTTGCAGTCGTCATTGCATTCTTTCTGTTAGAACAACAAACAACATATTTACATGAGTTTTTAAGGTGTTCAATTAAACAATAAGTAAATAGATAACATTTGGTAGGACTGAAGTATATATAACTTTTTAACCTCAGATTGAGCAGGCCTAATATCGTTTATTAAATATATCTATATAGTATATTGACCCTCCAAAATCTTAAATCTAAAACAAAATAAAACAAAAAAGATAATAATATATATTTAGTTATGCAACATGGTCTCAATAATGACACTTTTTGGCAGTCACTTTCTACTGTTCTTTAATATTAGGACCTATTTCTCCTTAATTAATAGCTCTGATTTTCCTCCAACCACTGGAAATTTTGTGCAGTTAGTAGAGCCTCTGTCTCTCTTAGATGTAGGACCCATTTCATATCCTTTTCTTGTTTGCCACTACATTGTCTTCAATGGTAATAGGAAATAAAAAGTTAATTTGTTTGTTCATCTATGCAATCGTTCATTTAATCAATTAAACCTATATTACGTTTTTTGCTTGTGCCAGGCATTATGTTGGGCTATGGAAACACAAAGGAAAGTCAATTATACTTTATTACGGTGGCATGAACTGTTACATATTTTACATTGTAATAAAGTGGGAACAATGTGAATGCTTATAGTTCAAATCCCATGATTGTGAGATTGGTGTTGATAAATGAACTGAACACTTCAGGATTTTTCTCCCAAGAATTTTCATGTCAGCAATGTGCAAATGGGTGAACTTTAACAAAAAGAGCTTTAACACTGAGAGATGGAAATTTTAGTTTCAAGTATCTGAAATGCATGTGGAAGTATAGAACTGGAAGTATCCTTAGAGGTCAATTATTCCAACTCATTTTGCAGATGAAGAAACCAAAGTTCAGATAGCTTAAGCAAAGTCCAAGGTCATATAAATATGTTTTTTGTCACGCTTGGGCTTATAGCATTTTAAATTATTAAATTATACCATTAGAGAGAAATTAATTCTATTTTTACTTTTCAGAAAGGCAAGATGTTTTGATTAAAAACAAGTTTGAAAAATTAAGTCTAAATTATAAATTATAAATACCTTTGCATAAAGTTTTCCTTCCTTGTTCATTGCAAGATAGTATTCACTTTCCACCCCTTTGATTGCCACAATTCCAACCGCTACTGTCCTGATTTCCATGATATCTGCAAAAAGTCACAGAAAGATATATCAATTATTCACTCAACTTTGCAGATTATCCAAGAACAGCCATTATTTATGTTGTACCTGAAAGTTGTTGAGAGTATTACTATTATTATTAAAGTATTACAAGTATTACTATACTTCTTTCCTCAGCTCACATCCCCCTACCCTTTACACATACACACAAACACTAGTCACTTAATATGGGAAGTGTAAACTCATATACTTTTTATTTTTTAGATATCTGTGTTTGAAGAAATAGTTACATATTCAGACTTATTCTCTAGAACTACATTTCTAACTTAGTATAGGAAGGAAAAAAACTATTGTTTTTTTAAACTCCTACCACATGCCAAGGATTATTCTAGGGTCTTTAATATCAACTCATGGAATCAACACAATAGTTGACAAAGCAGGTATTCTTGTTAACCCCATTTCACAGATCAGAAAACAAAGAGGCAGAACTAGACTTTGAACTCAGACAGTTTGGCTCTTAATCATAATGCAATACTATAAAAGTATATAATAAGCTAACATACATTTTTGTTCTGTTTGGTTAAAATTCATCTTTTAATGATGGCAGAATAATTCTTGAATATGGAGAAAATGGATAAAATTCCAAGAGAAGCAATTATAAATGATAAAAAAACAAAGCCCATTGCTTTTTAAAAAGTGTTTAAAATGTTTTTGATATATGAAAAGACTAATTATAACAATTATTTATTCTGTGCGTATAAACTTTTATAACTTTATTAATTAATTTTTAGATCTTTTTGAGATTCTTTTCATACAATATGCACTTACATAAGAATATTAACCTAGTTTCTTATATGTCTCCCTTAACATTATTTTTGATGACATAATTAATATAGTAAAATATTATAATGATGTAAATTAAAAGTTTAGTGAATCTTTTACATAACCTGTACTTTTTGCATAGGGATTCAGTCCTGAGACTTTCTCTTCACTGTGCCTAACAGAATGGAAAGAATATTCTAAATGAAAACTATTTGTGTAAATTCTCCCCAAAAGCTTTTTTCTGAAATATTCATGTAATCAACAGAAAATATTTTTCAGTACTAACTGTACTTCATCCTCTTATTTATTATTTTTGCTTCAGTTTTTTATCTGAATAATAAAATTGCTGTTTATAACACAGAAGTTAATGTGGCTAACTACTTTTTGTCATCTGTTTCATAAATATGCTGCAAACAGAAGCCCTTTTCCCAATATTCTAGTCAAAGCTCATCCAGTTGTGAGTTTCACAGCTGCTCATCTAGAAACTGGGGTCTGTGAAGAAAATGCAAAATAATGGGTATTGATTTTATATATTTACAAACCATCATCAAATGCACAGAATCTAACATAATTTTAGGATACAAATTAAGAAAACAGCTCTGGTTTCTGAACTCCAGAAGGTAACACCTAATATAAACAGAAAACACATATATTAATATAATTAAAAGAGAAGAAAGCTTTTTAGAACACAGGCTTGAAGAGGCTGTAGAAATTATAGTAATCACTTATAAGAACATTACAGAATGTAATGCTGATGTAGTCACACAACATTCAACAAAGCTTCACTGAGAGCCAATTCTATGTCAGGCTCAATTCAAAGATAAGCACTACCTTCTTAGAGACCTTTATCTGAAAACTCTAAATCTTCTTCATTTTCAATAAATTAAAATAAAGGGAAATAATATATCATACTTTAGAATCCCAGGAGGCTAAATTTGTACTTATACACTGAGGAATATCAGGAAATTTTTTGATTCAACATATGTCTTCAAAATTGAGTACATCTACTTAAGAACACAATACACAGTTTATAAAGATCTACCCATGTAAAATTTTATGAAGTCAATGTTTTCCTTTACTTCAAGTACCTTTACTCCTGCCATTCCTCTTTTTACTCAATATTATGTTTTATTCAGATAAAAAGGAGAATACTGATACAAAGCCTTAGAATACCTTTCATGATTGACCATAGTTAGAAAATGCAGTCTGTAATGTTTGCTGGCTTTTTTGTTTTTACAGAACAAATATTCACCAAATGTAACTATTGATGATAAAGTGTTGTCATCTGTTTCATATATATGCTGCAAACATAATTTGTGGACTCCTTCCCTTTTAGCTCAGGTCATGATAATATGCTTGTATCGCTCTACCCTCAAAAGCTTTTGCTCTATACCTTGCCTGTCCATTGCCCACTATTTCTACATTGCACTGACCATAAGTGATAAACTTTGCTAATCTTGCCCCCATCCATATATTAGGGTTAAAGATACAAAAACAATAAATCTTTATGAATATTTTCCCTTTAATTGGGTTAAAAATAAACTTTTAAAAGGCTAGGTTCCTATATTCTTAATTACCTGATATATTTTTTTAAAAAATCTTTCACATTGGGAAATCAACATATCTAATTATCAAGAGTAAAGCATTAAGGCAGTATTGGCAGAATCAATACACTATCAACCCTGGTTTTCTAGTCTGTTTTGTCCCATGTACTATGTTCCTCTTTTATTCCAGAAAACTCAAAAATTAAAAAATTAACACAATCATTTTTGTTTAGGTAGAGTGGAAGTGATGTTCTCTTTAATATCCACAAATATCTGTTTTAGTAATAACTATGCAAAATTATGGAATTCTACATACACACCCCCCAATTCAGGAGTCAGTAAATTGCTCAGAAAATACAATATAAGAATATATAATGGCAAACAGTAAGTTAGCTACCAACATAAATAAATTATTACTTGGTTTGGGGGGATTCTTTTTTTTTTTTTTGGTCCCAGGGATTTAACTCGGGAACACTTAGCTACTGAGCCACATCCCCAGCCCTATTTTATATTTTTACTTAGAGACAGCGTCTCACTGAGTTGTTTAGCTCCTTGAAGTTTCTAAGGCTGAGTACATCTATTTAAGAACACAATATACAATTTATAAAGATCTTGTGATCCACCTGTCTCAGCCTCTCTAGCTGCTGGGATTACAGGCATGTACTACTATGCCTGGTTGGTCTTTTAATCTATAATATATCTGTTGTTTTATGTAAGATGGAAACGAGAGTTTGTCTTGTGGATCTCTATTTTTTATTTAAGAGAAGATTGTTTATATAAAGAGCATTCATAGGACATTTATTCCCAATGAGGTGAGGAATATTACATAGTGAATCAAATTGTTAATATAATGACTATAATGAACATAGTAGAGTTTAGAAGAGGGAGAGATCAACTCATACACTAAAAAGAAATGAAAATTGAGACAATATATGAAGCACATTGATAATTTAAGTCTTCTCAACAATATGAATAGTATAAATTCATTATTTAGGATATCATTCTTAAAAATTAGTGAATATGCCCTAAATGTTTCCCTATTTACCCCGCTGTGGCTCAATCATTCATGAATTAATTTAAACCCTTTGCCCATGTAATACTTAAACCTTTATCACACTTGCAATAAAATTGAGGAGTAAGTTATTATTACTTAAAAAATATTCTCCAAAATCTATTTCCAGAATTTTAGGTATTCCCCTAATCTTGTATTTTGGAAATTGATGCTAATTCTTTATCTTTATTACAAATAGCATTGTGATTTTAATACTCTTTAATGTTCATGTTTGAAAAGTTATTTTAATTCCTCATCACACAGAAATCCACCCCCTATTCCAGCATATTAATTATATGTTTTTACCGAACCTTTTAAGCTTTATATAAATGGTCTCAAGGGAACATTATTAATATGGCTATGGTAACATAACTAAACATTATTTTAAAGCTGTAAAAAGTTGAGTTAATTAGAAAATTAAGCTAATTAGAACTTTTAATTTTGTCCTTGACCAAATTTACCTTCTTTGGGCACATTAAGAGTAGGAGCTGGTATCAACAACACCACCAAAAAAATCAAACAAACAAAACAATATTTCTTTCAAGCCTGGCTTGTTGAGTGGAAAATCTTAATCATCATATATTTATATTATATTTAAGGCTAAAGATTTAATTCATTTTATATCATAAAATACATTTACATATATTCATGTATATAAAATGCATCCAGTATCTTTAAAGTATTAAAAAAAACTCTTAAAATACAACAATTAAAAAAAAAACAGTTGAAAAGTGGGTGAAGCATCTGAATAGACATCTTTACCAAAGATAGTAAATAAGCATATGAAAAGATGCTCAATGTCATAAGCTAGTAGAAATTATAAATTAAAATGACAATGAAATATCACTATAAGACTGCTATAATAAGCCTGGTGTGGCAGCACAAATGAGTAGTCCCAACGACTGTGGAGGCTGAGGCAGGAGAATTGTGAGTTCAAAGCTAGCCTCAGCAACAGCAAGTCTCTAAGCAACTCAGTGAAACCTTGTCTCTAAACAAAATACAAAAAAAGGACTGGGGGTGTGGCTCAGTGGTCTCTAGCAATTAGAGAAATGCAAATCAAAACTACTCTAAGATTTCATCTCACTTCAGTCAGAATGGCAGCTATTATGAATACAAACAACAATAAGTGTTGGCGAGGATGTGAGGAAAAAAGTACACTCATACACTGCTGGTGGGACTGCAAATTGGTGCAGCCAATATGGAAAGCAGTATGGAGATTTCTTGGAAAACTGGGAATGTAACCACCATTTGACCCAGCTATCCCTCTCCTCGGTCTATACCCAAAGGACTTAAAAACAGCATACTACAAGGACACAGCCACATCAATGTTTATAGCAGGACAATTCACAATAGCTAAACTGTGGAACCAACCTAGATGCCCTTCAATAGATGAATGGATAAAAAAAATGTGGCATACATACAAAATGGAATATTACTCAGCAATAAAAGAGAATAAAATCATAGCATTTGCAGGTAAATGGATGAAGTTAGAGAAGATAATGTTGGGTGAAGTTAGCCAATCCCAAAAGACCAAATGCAGGATGTTTTCTCTGATATAAGGAGGCTGATTCATAGTGGGATAGGAAAGGGGAGCATGGGAGGAATAGAC